TAAAAAAAAAAAAATATATATATATATGTATATATATATATATATAGGAAATGTATAAGGGATTTTTTATTTTTTTTTGCTGCTGAGTTTTGAGAGGTAATAATGAAAAAAATGCTACTGTGAGGATATGTTGTGCTAGTAGTTAATGGTGTGTAACTTTCAAATTATGCACTATTTTATACTAAATTACATTGTTAGGCTGTGAGAGTGTGTATGTGAAAGAATATAAGACAATGTAGACCATGGGTATATGTGCATTTGTAAAAATACATTGAGGTCCAAAAGTCTAAGACTACTAATGAAAATGCTTTTGTTTTGTTTTATTCACCAACATTACATCACCAGTAATGGTTTCACAACTTTGCTAAACTTTACAACCAATGGTATTGACATGAATGAACAATGAATGAATGAAGACTATGCACAAATAAGAAAAAATATGGATGGTGCACTTCCCTTGTAAAAGTCAATAAAATCTCAAAAAATGAAAGAATAAATAATCATTATTATTTTCCATTTTAAAATTTTGAGTAACAACAGCTAAATGGTTACTTGTGCACGTCCCCTGCAAAACATTTGATGAAATGTCAAAATGAAATGAATAAACTCATAAATGAATGAACATTTTGCATAAATTAAAAAAAAATCTAGATTTGAACGTTTTAGGTAATAGCAGCTAAATAAGTACTTGTCCAAACCAAATCCCACAAAATGAAAATAAATGAATAAAAAAAATGAAAAGAATAAATAATGAATACATTAATCAATCAATCAACATTTATGCATAAATTAAAAATCAACATTATTAACATATCAAGTAATAGCAGCTGCACAAGATGATTTCTTGTGCACAACCCTTGTAAACCTTATTCAAAGAAGAAATAAATAAATAGTCCAACAGGTTTATAGGGTTTATTTCTTTTTGCATTTTTTTTTTTTGCATTTTTCTTTCCATCTTGTTAATTGTTGCTATCATTTCTTATGTGAAAACATTTTACCATATATTAAGCACAAAAGCTTTGGCTCTACTGAGTGTGAAATCTATGCTACTCAGAGTTTGGGTTTGTAGGATCAGTGAGTCTAAATGATCCTGATGTGAAGTTTAATACGGTTTGTGCTTGTGTGTCAGATAGCGGAGACGTATGCGTTCCTGCCCAGAGAGGCGGTAACCCGTTTCCTGATGAGCTGTGGAGAATGTCAGAAGAGGATGCACATCAGCCCCAGTGGTGCAGAGTTCAAAGGTATCGTACCAACACCACACACACACACACACACAGGCCAACCTGTAATACATTAGATGTAAGGGTTATGGCTTTAGGTATGAACTCCAAAGGCGGTTTGTGAACATCTCATTGACTCCGCTTCCAAAGGGTCGACAGAAAGCATTCATTCCCATATATTTATACATATTCAAACCCATAATGCTTAATTGGATAACTCATTGTCTTTGTTAAGAAAATCCCCTCTTGTCCCTTTTGTCCCCTGCCCACCCTGTAACGAGCTCCCCCCGTCGCACCAGCCCGAAGCTAATGAAACCCCCTCTGGCCACACCTCCTCCCACCCTAACACACACATCTTAACACCCTCTGATTAGGCTGAAGTCACTGGAGTGTCCTGCTAGCCTCCCCACACATTGCAATTAGCCCAAATACAGGCCTTTTAACAAAGAAAATGCCTCTGAAACCAGATTATTTCTAAAGAGAGAGAGAGTGATTGTGGGTGGAATCCATTGGGGGAGAGATTTGATTGGGAAATTTTCACTAGGACAAAAAAATAAATGGATAAAACTCAGTTTTTTTTACATTTTGGTAAGACTGCAATCCCAGTTAGTCCAACCCCTGCATTGCAGGTTGCCAATCAGAAGAACTGCCCTCAAACGTCCCGCTCGCTGAGATAAACAGATAGACAACACCTCCCGGGCCTAAACTGTCAAAGCGTTGTGTCAACGTTGGGCTTTGGTTGGGTGTTGCTCATAAAGAGAGCAGCTAATTGGCTTCTTGCCCATGGGGGTACGCAGACCTCCTCCCCTCCAGCCGGCCGTATGAAAGTTCAGTGCTGAATTATTCAGAGTAATTAATTACTGTACACTCGCTCTTTAATTGACACTCAGACTGTGGTTGATATCGGCTCATTTATTCACATTTCTGATAATATAATATAATACTATTGACATAAAACGGCTCTAAAGTGTACTTAAGAGAAAATAATGTTGAATTAAACATTTTACGTCAAAGTACATTTTAAATCATTATGTTTTTAATAATCTTTCGCCAGGCTTTAAAGAAATATGCTTATATTGATGTTTTGACTAACAAACTAAAGCACATTTAAAGTACTTAATTATAATTTTTTAACTGTAGTGTGTTATTTGATATTAAATTTAAAGATAATATATTGTACTAAATTGTAACTTTCTAAACAAATATTTACAAAATAATTATACATTTATTTAAAATACATGACATACAAGTTTCAGTTAAAATTACATTAAAGTTACCATGTTTTACAATGCTTCAAAGACAGCGGAAGTAATTATGAAATTACATGTAAAGATGTATGAAGTCCTACTTAAGTGGTCAAAAATCACTCTGAAGTTCAACTAACTGCCTTTAATATAAACGTAACCTATAAAACAATTTCATTTAATTGTAAATAACATGCAGTTAAGTGCTTGGAAACATTACATTCAGTTCAACCTTAATTATATTCTTTTTATTTCCATAGTAAGCACTGAATGCTTAAGTTCTTTTCATAAAGGGTGGTGCTAACTATTAGCTTCAGTAATTCATGCTAGCTTGTTTGTGTTTTTTTTGTAGTCTCAGGTGAAAAAATGATTGAACAACTTTATCAGTGTAATAAACCTGTCTTTTTAGCATCCTGACTAAACTGGAAATCATCTGAAAATCATTTTTGTCTTTAACCATTATTATGTTGGTTTTAGCGGTGATCTAGTTCCTTAAGGAATTATTTTAGTTTGTTGTGGTAAATCCACATGAAATGAGAAAATGGGTGATCAATACACAGTGAACAGCTCATCCATTACCATGTGTATGTGTGCGTGAGATTATCAGCAGGTAATGGGTTGCTTCATGGCTCTTTTAACTCAAAGCTGATAAAATCCATAAATGAGAAGGCTGTTATATGACTAAAAATGCTTCCACATTCATGAAGTCTAAAGGAAATTGTTGGGAATTCCTTATGTTTTAGACCACATGAAACTCAGGAGGACCATGTACTGTCAGTGCACTTAAAATTTAGTGTATATGTGTGCATAAACACACACAACCACACGCTAAACAAATCAGGCATAATTATTGTCAATGTCAGAAGCATTATCATCATGATCTTCACACAAACATTCACAGTGTTTTTTCACACAAATCAGAGGACATCATTACAGTGGCTTTGGATGAAAATATAACAGCTGTGGGCGGAGAATGGATTTAAATTTCTACACATTCCTCTATGCATATTAATGTAATTTGCATATGGATTTTTTTTTATAATTAGGCCTTTGTTTGGCATTGTTAATCTGAGGCAGAAGTGTGCCTGCAGAAAACACTGGGGCAGATACTGCCCTCTAGTGACAGTTTAGAGAAATAACATTTACTGTACTCACACACACTTTATATGAATCTCAGGTATAACAACAGAATTATTCACTTTTCCTGTCATGATAATCATATTTGTATGGCCTCACTGTTGTAAATCTCTCATGCTTTCTCAGAGAATAACCAACCATCTTCTCTGGCGGCCGACCTCATAGACTACAACATGCCCCTCACAACAACCTACTTGAAACAGAAGAAACTACAGTGCATGAATAACAACGAGCAGGTACAGCAGTCTTCACTAATATCTCTACATGTTTATTGAGCGACATACATTCAGCGTGTAAACAGCCAAGTCTCATTTCAGTCCATCCAGATGGCGCAGAAATCATTGTGGGCATTGTGCATACTGACAGGAGGTGTTTTAATTCAGTTTGCATTTATTTATTTTTATTAGAAGGTAAAAAAATGTCACTGTTCACTATTTTCTAGCCCTAAGCTGGGTATTTCTGGCACTGTCAGTGTACTGTACTGCTTATAATGTGTAGTAATGTGAACTCTGGCACATAGGCCAGCTGTGGGTGGGGTGGGTGGATGTGAGTTTGTGTGGTATAGTATTTAGAAGGAATGGCGGTTAGTTCTGTTCTAATTAACAAGTGTTCTGAGCAGCTGGCTAATTAGCTGAGGTGTGAGAAAACAGGTGAAGTGCCAATCTAACGAAGGTGAGCCGTACTTACAGTCATGTACAACTCAGTTTGTACACACAATGAAATGTGTTCAACTCAGTAGACACTTGCTTGCGATCATCATGGTTAGTCTAAAGGCCCATTCACATCAAGGACAATAACTATAAAGATAAAGTTTTAGAAATCATTCTAATTCTATGAGAATAGTGAAGTCCACACCACGACTATAACAATAAAGATTGTTGACAGCCAACTAGAATACAGGAGCTTGAAAAATGACATAACTGCAGCTGAAAGGAAAACGCTCTCATAACTTTGATCAATGTTCTGGCAAAGTTATGAACAACAATCTTCCAGGTACATTAATACAATGTTCATTCAGCATTATCTGGTCTTTAATAATGTTTTCAAAAGTTAGCACAAAAACGTTATCATACATCGTTCATGGAAGTTTTTGTTTCTGAAACATTTTGATTTTTAAATGTTAAAAACACTAATTGTTTACTAATTGTTTCAGAACGTTCCGAAAACATTCAAAGGTAATGTTCCTATAATGTTTACAAAATGATAAAATGGAATGTTCCCATAACATTTGCATAATGTTACAAAACAATGTTTTTAAAGAAAAATGACATAACTGCAGCTAAAAGGAAAACGCTCTCATAACTTTGATCAATGTTCTGGCAAAGTTATGAACAACAATCTTCCAGGTACATTAATACAATGTTCATTCAGCATTATCTGTTCTTTAATAATGTTTTCAAAAGTTAGCACAAAAACGTTATTATACATCATTCATGGAAGTTTTTATTTCTGAAACATTTTGATTTTTAAATGTTAAAAACACTAATTGTTTACTAATTGTTTCAGAACGTTCCGAAAACATTCAAAGGTAATGTTCCTATAATGTTTACAAAATGATAAAATGGAATGTTCCCATAACATTTGCATAATGTTACAAAACAATGTTTTTAAATAATTTAAGAAACTGGACATTTTGAACATTAAGAGAATGTTCAGAAATATGTCTCAGAACCTATTGGGAATGTTAGCAAAACATTCTTAGAACACATTTTTGTTAGCTGGCCCATCGCACGCTTATAATAACCAGAACATTATCATCCGTTGGTGAGGACTCTACTAGACTGTAGTTATAGTTATTTTTAGAGTTATCGTTCTTGGTGTGAATGGCGCTTAACTCAGGAGGTTCCTAGCCCACTTAACCCGCAAGACTTCATTGGTCAACCAGCTTCACCAAAATTACTCTGCTGGTTGACTAGCTTCACTGAACATAACTATGCTGTTCCCTCAACTAGTCTGGCACCTAACCTATACACCACTAACCACTATAAACCAGCCCGGACTTGAATTCATACTGGTCTAGGCTGGCCTTTTCGATTTCAGTACACATAAATATCTCTTTAAACTCCAAATTTTGGTTCCATTTTCCTGTTATTGTGTACTGAATGCAAGACAAGACATGCCGCAGTGCGATTTCATTATTATTATAGAATCTGCCTGTGCACTGCTGTTGTTTGCTTTCTATACTGTGAAATTCTTCCAAGAGTCTCTTACATAAAATGCCCTAATATAAAAGCTCATGATGTTCAGGACTCTGTTTTGAATCCATACCTTGTTTTCATTTATCACTGTATTCATTCTTTGTGTGAGAGTGTTCGCTTTGAGAAAATTGTAGGGAGCAGACAGGAAATGTGTGTGTGTGTGCGTGTGCGTGTGTGCGTGTTTGTGTGTGCGTGTGTGCGTGTGCGTGTGCGCGTGCGCGTGCGCGTGTGTGTGTGTGAAATGTCCTACCGCAGTTTTGGTCTCTTTGGGTGGGGCATGACAGGAGAAGCGGATGATGAGCTGAAAGCGCAAGAGGCACTATCAATAAAAATATGCTACAGTACAGTATGAAGCTAGCTTTAAACACATGAAAAAACTGTACCTTGTCATTTAAATAGGGGATCTGAGCCTGTTCCACCTCAAAGGTTGACCACCTCAACTGTGTCTAACAATTAAAATCATACAACTATATAATGTTGTTATGTTTTGGTTTTAATGGGAAATATAAATTTATTAATAATTACATGTGACAACTACAGTAAGAGTACAGCCTGTACCAAGTTGCTGCTTAATGTAGGCAAAAAATTGCATTAGAATATTATTTAAATTTGACGTTCATTTTTTGATGTTCATGTTCATTGCGTAAAAAAATAACAATATCACAAATCAGGGATTTAAACAACATTTAGTCATTTATAGACAAAATATTGATAACATGGTTGCAAGAATTGAGAACCTAATTTAAAGCGAAAGTACAGTCAAAAGTTTGTGGTTGGTAAGCTTTTTTCAATGTTTCTGAAAAAGTTTTGTATGCTCACCAAGGCTGCATTTATTTGATCAAAAAATACAGTAAATACAATAATATTGTGAAATATCTGTACAATTTAAAATAACTATTACTAAATAACTAATTTATTCCTGTGATGCAAATCTGAATTTTCAGCATCATTACTTCAGTCTCACATGATCCTTCAGAAATCATTCTAATATTCTGATTTGCTGCTCAAGAAACATTTCTTATTATTATCAATGCTGAAAACATTTGTGCTGTTTAATATTTCAGTGGAAACCGTGATGCATGTTTTTTCATGATTCTTTGACAAATAGAAAGTTCAAAACAAAAGCATTTTGTTTAATTAAATGTGTGTTTGCTGAATAAAAGTATTAATTTCTTTTAAAAAATTCCAATAATTAGTAGTGTAAAATTAAACATTTCATATAATTACATTTGAAAGCCTTAAGCTTGTGACAATCATTTGAAGGATAACCCCCACCTTTCAAAGGTCCTATTTTTAAAGGTCCTATTTTGTACCTTATTTGCAGAAAGTACCAAAGGCAGATGAAGAAAGGCCGAGTAAGAAATAGAGACTAAGTACTGAGAAATAGAAATGGCAAAAGAAAACCGAGAGAAACACATGGCACAGATAGGCAGAATAATTAACAAAGAGGTCATTGGATGAGCATAGGAGTGAGAGCAGAGGAGCAGAGGATGTGGCGAGGAGGCTGGTCGGCCCAGCAGGACGCATGTGTCCAGCTCAATTCAATAAAGAAGGAAATTAGCAGCATCCTTCCTGCAGGCTGCAGACTCCCGGCTCTCAGAGGGGGGATGGAGGAGATTAAGGAGAGGGGGAATGTTCATTATCGTTTATGGCCTTTTTTTCTCCATTTGCTGTATCTCCTCTTCAGGAAACTCATTTCATTCTCTCTCCTCCTTTAGCTCTCTCTCTTTCTCCCTCCCTCTCTCTCTCTCTCTCTCTCTCTCTCTGGGGAAAGGTGTGAGATTCTCAAATATTCTAGCAAATTAGGCCTACTGTAGTCACAGAAAACAGAAGATAGATTTTATTCCATCTACATTCTTACTGGCATTAAATGGATAATCAATGTTTTCTTTTATGTGATAGTCAGCTTTGCTGAAAAAATAGCTGCTGTATTTGTAAATGTTAAATGTATTTTTTTTCCATTGTCACACTGAAATATTAGCGGTGTCACTACTAAATTTAATATGGCAGAGGTGGCAAGTCTAGCAGTGTCAGTGAATGTGAATGTGTCATTTGTTCTTATAAAAGCTGTATTGTGCCATTTTGTCTGTAGGTGGCAGATTTACCAAGCAATTCATTCTGCTAACTAACAATATAACTAGCTGAACAAAGTTGCTTTGTAATGTTTTGGTGGTTTATTCCAGATAGTAAGTTAGTGGAAACCGGTGGAAAAATTAATTTAAAGCCTCAAGGACATTTATGTTACAGCGACAGATTAATTTAATCTATTCATGCTGCTTTTTATTTCTTAGAATTTTATTTTAATGGCTACTTAATGACAACAATTAGTAAGTATGCATTTGCGTCTTCAAAAAACAAACAAACATTACAATAGCCAGTTCACAATCACACAGTTTGTAAACCGACTTAGAAGACAAAGACTCGCATTGTCCTCTCGCATTGATGTTGTTAATCTATTTCCTAAAGTCAGTCTAAATATAACATCCAGACTTTTGCTTCTAAACACTGGAATGTGCAGTTTGCATTATGAGCCATGAATTGTACTTTCCGATTCCTTTGAATGTATGTGCTTCTCCTGAGGGCTTCATTAGTGACTCATAAATCAAAGTATGCGTATGGTCATGCACTTAGATGTTCACTGGGTAATTGAGGACAGTATCAGGATGGAGAGTTTACTGTATTGATGTATTGGAATAGAAAAAACTAGGCTGATTCTAGGCTGTGTTCCTTGGTTTTTCTTATTTCTACCATATAAGCCTTCAGTATGCTTCTTTTTTAAATGAAAAGGTGATGTGGTCTTGCTTTAGCAAACAAATGATTTTTATATGAATATGGATTTCTAGCACAAATGTTGCATTTACAGTGGAGAAGATGGAGGCAGAAAGAGAGAGGGGAGGGGATGTGAACTGCTGTAAAGTGGGTTTTGGTGATTCTGTACCTCACTGTACAGTACTCATAGCGGGGGCGTGACGTCAGCGCCGCCGGCCCCGCCTCCGTCTTCAGGGCTGGTAGCTGGAGAGAGTCGCGACCGCAGCAAT